CATCAATTGCACAGCATGAGCCACACCTTGCTTACGCCGCTTTTGTTTACGGCTCCTCCCGCAGATGGTCTTTCCTGATGAGGACCACCCCTGACATAGCAGTGAACTTGCAGCCGATTGAGGACAAGATCAGGAATTTTCTCATTCCCAACATGACAGGACACACAATTAGGTCCAACTTTGAGCGCAGCCTGTTCTCCCTCCCAGCCAAGTTAGGTGGACTAGCTATCATCAATCCAGTAGAAATTGCTGATAATGAGTACAAGAACTCACTCATGGCTAACCAGCAGCTTACAGACCACATCCTGAAGCAACACACCACTCTCAATACCAACAGAGAGGCTGGGAAAGCAGTCAAGTCTGCCATTAGCCTGTGGCACTCGGGTCCTTGGTATTGTCGTCGGTACATTGTCCATTACCTCCGTTCTGCTTTCATAGTTTAAACAATAGTGAGTTCTAAACATAAATATAACAGCTTTAAACCGACTAAGTATGAATGAATGAAATACCTGACAATCTACACTCCTATAAAAATTAAAAAAGCATGAGTAACTCGTAGTGATGTATGATTTCTAAAAACTTTAAATTAAATTTGGCGCTCACAGGTCCTCATGATCATGTGATCGCCGCATGAGGTTCTATAAATGCGCAGGGCACCATCGAGCTTATATTATTCACCTTACTGAGGCAGTCAACCAACGCGCGGCTTTATTTTTATGATATGATATGTTTTGATTGTTATTAATAAATACCAAAATTTAAATTTGTTTTCCTAAAAAAAAAAATTTGTTTTCCTCTAATGCCAAGAGGTATGAGTCACTGAAAAACCAGCTGATGAACGATCTTCCACCTTCGATCAGCAAGAAGATCCCACATGCATGTGAAAAAGGTGCATCAAGCTGGCTGACCGGACTTCCCTATGAGAAGTACGGCTTTGTCTTGAACAAGCGAGGGTTCAAAGACGCGATAGCATTGAGATATGCACTACCCATTGCCAACATAGCCAAGAAATGCATTTGTGGCAAAGATAACACCTACAACCACATTCTTATTTGCAAGAAAGGAGGCTTTGTCAACAGCAGACACAACCGACTGAGAGACACTGTTGCAAGCATTCTTGAAAAAATCTGTAATGAGGTTGTTGTAGAGCCCACACTCCAGCCATGCACTGGAGAAAGCCTTCGCCCTGGTACCATTCTGGATGATGGGGCAAGGCTCGACATAGCAGCTAGAGGTTTGTGGTCACCAATGGAGATGGCATTTTTTGATATCAGGGTTTTACACCCCGGAGCCAAATCCAACGCTAACCACAACACCCCAGCAAAGATGTACAGCAAGCATGAGAGAGAGAAAGAAAGGAAATATGGAGATCGCTGTGTACAAATTGAAAAAGGAACCTGCAATGGCCTCGTATTCTCGACCACCGGAGGTATGGGCCCACAGGCTACCATGTTCCTTAAACGAGTAGCAACACTTCTGGCAGCCAAGACCAGCCAGGACAAAAGCCTCATTATGGCAAATCTAAGACGTCGTTTGAGGTTTGAGCTACTTAAGACAGTATTGATTGCAGTGAGAGGACACAGAGGACGGTATTATGAGAAAGCAATACCTGTTGACGAACTGGACCTAAATCTTGCACACACCACCAACGATGAAGACAGGGGTGATGATGTTGATGATGAAGATAATGAAGTTGATGATGAGGCTGAGAATGTAGAGGAAGAGGTTTCAGAAGAGTGAGCTGAAAAGAAGACAAGTTTCTATTGTAATTTATTGATTATTATATTTATTGAAATAAACATATAATATCCATTACTCCAGGAGTGATGACAGGATATATAAAAAATTTAAAAAAAAAAAAAAAAAAAAAAAAAGGGGGACTCCCAACCCACTGCTTTGGCGGGTAGTTGATACACCTTTCACAATGCAAAAGCCACTTTGGTCTACTTGCTGTGAGGTGTTAAAGAAAAGAAAGAATAAAGAAATTAAAAAATAATGTGCAATGCAAGAATGTTCTGAAAATAAAAATAAAAATCATTAAAATTTAACCTCGTTACATCTTTATCAAAAAAGAAACAAGTGCGAATATAGTGATCTAACTCCCAATTTTCCATATTCCCATGAGTATGTTCCATAATGATATAAATAAGTAACTGAATATCAACATCATGTGTAATGATGTGATGTCACAATTTTTACTTTGCTTTACTTCACTTGCAATTTCTTTCACATGTTGTCCAAATCCCCTTGCATTGATACGTTTCCCCTCGGAAAATTTACATGGACGTTTTGACCACTAGGATACTGAATATCACCCTTTTTTCTAAACTAAATGCTACAATATGATTAATAGGCTGTTCAACACCAAGAAATCTTTGGGAGATAATCCTCAGAAGATAGGTTTTGGTTGTGCTGTAGAAACTGATGGAATATGGGGAGTTATAAATCAAGAGGCTTGCATATAATGAACATATTGACACGGGTGCAGAGTTGAGTCTGTACGGAACCTAGTAGTTTCAGATCCTTGTTTAACTTGCCGTACATCAAGGTCATCCACTACTTTAGCCCGGCGAGGCACATAACTCCCTCTACAACTCCATGACAAATGTTTCATATATACTAGCCGAGTTCACAAGTTATATCCTTGTGTTTGAGAAGAGCTCGTTAGAACTGCTTCCTTTCCCTTCAGTATCCCACAGTCTCTCGAGTTTCGTAACTGCCAGAGAACTCTCTTAAACAATTACTAGACTCGGTGATTATAAATCAAGAGGCTTGCATATAATGAACATATTGACACGGGTGCAGAGTTGAGTCTGTACGGATTATGCGATTATTTGTTTCTTTTGTCTTCCATGAACTTGAAACTTTGTTATTGATGAAGAGTAACCATGTTCATTAATTGGTCCCAGAGATTTTAAATTTGGTACTGACTGTTGGCAATTTGTTTGTTTGGAAGAATAATGTTTCAGTATTATTATTATGTATAAGTTCGAAAAGAAATATAAAGTATCTTACTATATAGAAAGCGAGACGATATATTATATACAGGGTGGGCCAAAAGTCAGTGGGCATACGTTGGCCTTAATAGCTCAGTCACTGATTGCCCAATTGAAATAATTCTTTCTGGTATGACTTACTACCACCACTGGTTCGAGGAATTTGTCAAATCGAAAAATATTCAAGATCATTTTTTTCAAATGAAGGTTCATTTTTGCATTTATTTGATAGTTTGGATAGTCGGATCGAACTAAATTTTATTGAATTGTGTTTGGCCATTCGAATTACGTTTGTCCTTTAAAAATTAGAACTGTAGCTTCTCAGATGACCGAGATATGAAGCATAACGAGTTTATTCATTACGTGTGATCAGGTGATCGGTTTACCTAACCACGTGATTAGGTGAACCCGTTCGCGTTAACCACTCCGTTAAACATTATGGGAATTTTTAAGGGTGCCCAATTAAGGTGTCGTGTCACGGTGTCACATAATCACCCAGTCAATTTTGTTAACGAGATACAGAAAATGCTTGATAACTTTGTCATTTTTAATCTGTTTTGCCTCATATTTTCAGATCATATACGTTCTCAAACTCATCAGCAACAACAGTGAAATCATTGAATTAATCACGAACGAAAGTCAAGTCCATCACGAGAGTCGTTGCTAGATTTGCCACTACGTGTTTTAACAACCGCAAGAAATTCGTTGACTCTCTGGCCAGTACATGAACATTAAACATCACTGTACCAGCGCTGTTTCTTTTCGCGCAACAATGAGTGCAGAGTGACCTGGCTCAAGCATTACAGCATTACCAAGGCGACTGTAAACAAAATATTTATTGTCAAAATCTTTATTTTTCACTTTAGTTAAAGTTATATAATATAATAAATTTAAATCATATGATATTGTTATTATCTTAACAGTTACTATTGTAACTAAAGATTTTAAATTTGTATTCCTTGTATTCCTTGTATTCCTTGTATTCCTATGCAACATTTAATACTCTACCGTCCTAAAAAAATTAGGCGTTCAGCATGTTCAGAGAAAGAATAAGAATTTTAATGCCCAAAATGTGGACCCCCAAGTGGTGTCAAAAACCGAGAATTAAATAGATAATAATTATTATAGTCTCTTGAGTCTTGACACCACTATAGGGTTAGACGGGTTCCTGCTAGTATATTTAAAAAAATACGTTATCATGCATTATAAACTAATTAAGCTTTGATAATATATTGCTAATTGGGTAAGGGACGAAGGTTTAATTACGTGATAAGAGGTGTCTAATAAATAATGATAAGAATATATTTACCATGTACTGCTAAAATAAGATTAAGTTAACCAACTTAGTGCCACAGCGGGTAGAATTTTCTTCTTGTTCCAAGGAAATTATAATTATAAATTACTGAATTGACTGATAAATCTGATGCAATTTTAAATATTTCATGCGGACTTATCCCATGAGAGGGCTCCTTACTGTTGTGTTACAACAAGACGTACAAATCGTTTCGTTAGAGGTCGTTTTTACTAAACATTACCGATTTGTATTACTAAACTGCAAAATTAACATTTGTGTTTTAGTATAAACTCTTTCCAGTACTTTACCTGTCATTACATATTATTAAAGACAGGATTTATTTTAGTTTTCGAAAGTTAAGAACTTTTATTCGGTCCAAAATAAAACTTTTTGCTAGTACTTAAGGACAACGCGGGGGCCCTTCGTTACACCACTGCAATGAAGTAATAATCACATTTGTATCCTAATTGTGTATGTACTTTGAAATGGTCAGGACCGGACCATGAAATCTTAATGCAATTGTCTGCGATATATCCCTTTGAATCACATATTCTAACATCTGGCTGTTAAGGGAATTTTACTATTGTCTTTTTTTTGATAATGTTATCAGATGTAAACTCATTGGTTTACAAATGTAGCTGGTTCTAGTCATTGATTTATCACTTTTGCGAAAGATTTTAACATAGGCACTTACCACTTTTCATAGATGAATGACTTCGTAATCTCATTGTCTCCGTAGCATTTATAAGCACAGAGATGAGTAGTTGATGCTTGCAGATACATTATGCTCATTTTTATTTGTTTCATCTTGTTGGTACCTCTCCTAAAAGTAAGTGTCCTTATATTTTAATAATCCGCTGCAGATAAATTGTGATCAATTAAAATTACAACATAGCATTATTACAGGATTAGTCGCTAGGACCAATGGCTGATATTTCACCACTACTGTGTTACTTAAATATTTTAACCAGTAACCAATTTTGTATACCCATTGCATTGTCATTGAAATGAACTTAGGGGTCGTTCACATATTACGTAATCACTTTTTGGAAAAATTAATATCAGTTTTACACATAGCTATTGTGTCAAAATTACAAATCATTCGAAAACCCCCATCCCCCTCGGCTGATTACATAATATGTGAACGACCCGTTAATTCAGAGTGAAGATTACAAACCAGTCCACAAAGGAATTCCGGGCACTTTTAGCCATAAGATATACTTGAAGAGTTCAGATTAGTAAGGGGAAAAGTGGTCGATTTAAGGGTTCCGTTGGATTTGAATGTTCACAAGGATTTCTCAACGGAATATGGTAGTTAGGACCCCTACGAACATAATTAGACTTGTTGCCAATTTTGTATCTCAACGGAAACACCACTTTTACCACTTTTTACCACCTTTGTACCACTTTTCTGGTTTGCCAAATATCTTTAGTTGTGAACGTCGTAGAAGGCTGAAAATTAACCTAGAATGTTTATCTTATCAAGGAGTAAAACTTTTGTATCAAAAATTTTTACATTGGACAATCAGCTAATTGGATAATTACCAATTAGTTAATCACCAAAAAAAGTGAAAATTTTTTATTGGCTCAAAATGATTGAAATCGTTTGAAACACGGAGAAATGTAGTTTTTAGAAAAACTTCAAAAATTTTCCACTTAAAATTTTTTTTCGAGACTTCAAAAAAAAAGTTTGAAAATTTGAAAATATTTTTTTCCGCCAAAAGTGATCGAATTGCATGAAACGTGGATAAAAATGCCTTGCAGAAAAATTTCGAAGATTTTTAGATTGAGGAATACTAAAATCATCAATATTTGAAGTTGGAGTTCAGTAAATCTCGACATATTTTAGTAATTAGGAATAGCTTAGCGGAAAGGGCTGGACCTGAAAAAGGTTAACCACACAATATTAGAGTTTCGTAACTAATTACAATACAGCTTTATCAAATTCCACATAAAGAAACAGCACAAAAGGACCATTTAAGATCGAACCGATTTTACCTGCTGTACTATCATTTTATTGATTTCAATGATCAAAACCTCTGTCAATCTTGCCAATCTATACCGGGTATCTGAATGTACCGGACCTCTTATTTACCTCTATAATTAGACCCAGTTGTGCAAGAAATGCGATTTCTCACAGGGGTTTCTTTAAACTGTGCACTTTTTATCACTCTCGCAACTCGCAAGAGGCCTGGTATTATAGGGGGGGTATAGGAAGCGAGTGTAAATATACCTTCCATCATCCATTGTGGCTTTTTTGTATTGTGAATGTGCATGCCGCTTCGTTTGCTATGCCATATACCTCGAATAACCCCCATATGTCATTGCCAGGGTCGGGATAGAGCTGGAGATAGCATTGAAAAGTTGCTAGAAATAGCTAGATTTAGAGTAAACTGGTGGTAGCTGGGTGGTGCTAGCATGGATGTAGCAGAACGTAGCTACACGGGGTTTCATTGGAGTTGGTTATTTTAATGGCCAAAGAGTGCCGGAACTAAAGTTACTTAAGATTGCAGTTTAGGGGCAGTGTAAACCACGGTGTAGTCAGGGACACAGAGCTACAGTGCAGGAGTACTGCAAAAGAACAGTGCAAGTGATACAGTCTGCAACAGTAAAACTCCGAAGAAGGAGATAAGATTGTGGCTGCAGAGGAGGAGAGTAGCTGGAACCTGATTGTGTTTGTGTTGAAAGAAGAGGAGGAAGAAGAGTTTCCTGCTCTGGTAACTGTATTTTTGGAAGAGGTGGGGTGAGAACTTATTTTCAAGCGACAAGGGTGGGCTGGAAGCAACCAGATACAGCTATCCGACCTATTAAGATCACCGTCCTGAGCTTAACAGCATTTCATCAGAATCTTATGAAAACAGAGAGACTGACCCACCCTTTTTAGATCCAACGAAACCCTTTATATAAATCGACTTTTCTGCATGAATTACTTCATGGTATCTTCTTATCAAGGCTACAGACCTTGCCGTACCGGATTTATTGATCAAAGTGAGTCTCTTTAGCCCTCTTCTTCTTTAGAGCTTTAGGTTAGTGATCAAACTCTTCGCTACTCGCTCTTCACTGGATCTATCAGGACAGATTCACATCTTTTTAGGTCTCAACCAGCCTTAGTTTTCCTGTTTTCATCATGTAGTACGTTCTGCTACCTCCATTTTAGCACCACCCAGCTTCCATCAGTTCACTCTAAGTCTAGCTTCGTCGGCGTTTTACTGTTGCAGACTGTATCACTTGCACTGTTCTATTGCAGTACTCCTGCACTGTAGCTCTGTGTCCCTGACTACACCGTGGTTTACACTGCCCTTAAACTGCAATCTTAAGTAACTTTAGTTCCGGCACTCTTTGGCCATTAAAATAACCAACTCCAATGAAACCCCGTGTAGCTACGTTCTGCTACATCCATGCTAGCACCACCCAGCTACCACCAGTTTACTCTAAATCTAGCTATTTCTAGCAACTTTTCAATGCTATCTCCAGCTCTATCCCGACCCTGGCAATGACATATGGGGGTTATTCGAGGTATATGGCATAGCAAACGAAGCGGCATGCACATTCACAATACAAAAAAGCCACAATGGATGATGGAAGGTATATTTACACTCGCTTCCTATACCCCCCCTATAATACCAGGCCTCTTGCGAGTTGCGAGAGTGATAAAAAGTGCACAGTTTAAAGAAACCCCTGTGAGAAATCGCATTTCTTGCACAACTGGGTCTAATTATAGAGGTAAATAAGAGGTCCGGTACATTCAGATACCCGGTATAGATTGGCAAGATTGACAGAGGTTTTGATCATTGAAATCAATAAAATGATAGTACAGCAGGTAAAATCGGTTCGATCTTAAATGGTCCTTTTGTGCTGTTTCTTTATGTGGAATTTGATAAAGCTGTATTGTAATTAGTTACGAAACTCTAATATTGTGTGGTTAACCTTTTTCAGGTCCAGCCCTTTCCGCTAAGCTATTCCTAATTACTAAAATATGTCGAGATTTACTGAACTCCAACTTCAAATATTGATGATTTTAGTATTCCTCAATCTAAAAATCTTCGAAATTTTTCTGCAAGGCATTTTTATCCACGTTTCATGCAATTCGATCACTTTTGGCGGAAAAAAATATTTTCAAATTTTCAAACTTTTTTTTGAAGTCTCGAAAAAAAATTTTGAGTGAAAAATTTTTGAAGTTTTTCTAAAAACTACATTTCTCCGTGTTTCAAACGATTTCAATCATTTTGAGCCAATAAACAATTTTCACTTTTTTTGGTGATTAACTAATTGGTAATTATCCAATTAGCTGATTGTCCAATGTAAAAATTTTTTGATACAAAAGTTTTACTCCTTGATAAGATAAACATTCTAGGTTAATTTTCAGCCTTCTACGACGTTCACAACTAAAGATATTTGGCAAACCAGAAAAGTGGTACAAAGGTGGTAAAAAGTGGTAAAAGTGGTGTTTCCGTTGAGATACAAAATTGGCAACAAGTCTAATTATGTTCGTAGGGGTCCTAACTACCATATTCCGTTGAGAAATCCTTGTGAACATTCAAATCCAACGGAATGCCACTTTTCCCCTTACTAGATGGTGTGCCTATCTCTCCCTTTCATGACATTCCCTTTAAAGTTGTGGATGGAGGTAAGAAATTGAGATTTGACTTTTACTATTAGTACTTCTATACTATGGTTTGATTCTACGACTACTAATTCTAATGATTTAAATTAAATTGTAATGATCTTGATGAACAGTACTGGTCCTGTAATTTACCACATTTGTAGCGTGTACTGATATATATTTTAATTATTGACTGATGAGTTTTCTTAACATTTCAGTATACAACATGGTGGTAGAGATGCCAAGATGGAGTAATGCAAAGAACGAAATTACCAAGGAGGAAACATTGAACCCCATCATTCAAGATACCAAAATATATGGTAAAGCTTCTGATTCATTGCATGAGTAATAAGTAAGAAGTCAAACTTTTGTTGAAAATGTCATGAATTTGTAATATTGCAGTTGGTTTGTCACTACATAATGCTGTCAGTTGTCACTAAAAAGGGCTACTACCGGTTCGAAACCTCATAAATTGAACTTATGTTATCTTACTATATATCTTAGATTTTAAACTTATACTAGTATAAGTTTAAAATCTAAGATATATATTAAGATAACATAAGTTCAATTTATGATAGTTATCAACTGTATCACTGAACACTACTCCAAACTACAGATGGAGTAAACACACTGAGATATGTCAGCAATTTGTTCCCTTATCATGGTTACATGTGGAACTATGGAGCTATTCCACAGACATGGGAAGATCCGGAGTATGTTGACCCAAACACTGGGGTTGGAGGTGATAACGATCCTGTTGATGTTGTCGAGGTGGGTACAGCACAAATGTGATCTGTGAAAACTGTGTCATAAAGAAACTTCAGTTTTGACATTTAGTTATTTGTCAAAGATTAGACTTGGGCGCTGATTTTAACTATCCTTTATAAATAGAACTTTTGTGGAATGATATTATAAGTAAAAACAGTCACTATCTCCTTCTTCGTGTTACTTTACCTTTAAGGGTATGCTGCCCAATTTATTTTAGTTTTGAGGGGTCAGGAAGTAAATAATGATTTAATGTTATGTAACAGATTGGTCGTAATGTTGGGTATGTTGGTGAGATAAAACAAGTGAAGATACTGGGAGTTATTGCCTTGATTGATGGGGGAGAAACTGATTGGAAGATCATGAGTATTGATATTACCGATCCTATGGCTGACTCTCTCAATGATATCCAGTAAGTCAACTATTAATGAATAATAAAATGTTCATTGCTTGCTAGTACAATTTATAGTAGTAAACACTTTTTAAAACCAAGGTCATTATTTAGTCAGCTGAGCTGTTATTATGCTCCTAAACCAGTTAACCTCCATTTATCTTTAAATCAATCAATTAGCTGTAATAAACAAATATATTTGCTTTAATTAATTAATTAACACTTAACAGAGATGTTGAAAACGAGATGCCAGGGCTTCTTGCAGCTTCTAGAGACTTCTTCAGAAATTACAAAGTCCCTCGTGGAGGAAAATACAATGTTTTTGGGTTTGAAGGTGAGGATATTTCAAGATACTGTACCGATTGAAGTGATTTATCATGCCATTTTATACGGTTTGAATTAGTGTCAGGTGTCAGCATTTATCTGTATAAATCTTGTGTGAACATATTGTTTTTAACAATATCACCATGGTGCAGAGGAATTTGTTTCCCTTTGAATCAATCAAACTAGATGAATTGTTGTAAATACTGAGATCAAACTATCAATCTACAGGCTATCGTCAAACATGTTGCAAGGCGTCATCTTCAGTGACATAAGCCCTAGAAATTGTAAAAAGTTAGTAAAACCCAAAATTCCTTTAAAAATCTGAACACTCTTAAAACGGTTATAAACGTGCACCACTTCTTAATGAGAGAAATCGATATTTTGATATTGTTTTAGTAGATTTTATATTTATACAATATACATATTATAATGATATATGATGATCCATTGCATTTCAAGGTAACTGATTAATGAAAATTGGTTGCTAATTAACTAAAATCGTGATGCAGGAGAGTGGCAAGGAAGAGAGTTCACAGAGAAATTACTAAAGAAAACACACAAGAAGTGGAAAGAGCTGGTATCCAGGACAACAAAAGGGAAAATAATGACAGAAAATACCAGTATTAATAATTCGCCTTGGCATATCAGGTTAGAGTAATTCATTAAATGGGAAATGGTGTGGTTAGTGGCACGATAATATTATTTTAAATCATACGCTCCTCAAAGTTTACAAACTTTATAAACACGTCTGCTGTTATTAATAAACCTCAATGTAACTTTCACACAAATAAATAATCTCAGCAAGAAAGAAGCTCGCGAGATCCTGAAATCAAACCCTCGTTATAACCCGGACGCACGTGTCCCTCCTCCCGAATCTGTGCAGCACGTGTCCTTTGTGAAGAGAACTGTTAGTGAACCGGTCTGCGATGCAGTGAGCGATGAAGTGGGGGAGGCGCTGCCAGTTCTGCCACTTTGTAGTCTTGGGAATAATTGATATGTTAGAAGTAGAAAGAGATTGCAGGCTGTGGTATTTAGAAAATATTAGAACAGAACTTCTATACTATGTTTGATGAACTTTATCATGTTGTATAGAAGTTTTGTACTGATCTCTTCTGCTGCGTTTTATTGAAATAATTTAAAAAATACTTGAATTTGAAGATTTATAGCGTTTCAGATAAGATTTGATTCACTCAAATTTAATTTTAATTTATTTAATTGTCTAAATTTTAATCGTTAAATTATCTAGTAAAACAATTTTACAATCTATTCATTGTTAATCTCATTTATTGTAAATTTAATTGATTTATTTTTCTAATTTAAAAACTGTGTTGACTCCAGCTTCCACTTTTTATTCTGGTTGTGATATTTTTTAAAAACCTCAGAAAAGTGATGAACTGTTAGTTAGGTCGAATTAAAGTAAAAACTGAATAATTTGAATTTTGTTGAAGTTCATGAACCAGAGGATTCAGATCAGATTCCTATTGGCAAAAGCGAGATTCAACAAGAAGAATCAGTTTTCAAATCCTTCACAGTAGTTAATTGACGGGTACAGTCTACGAGAACACAGTTTATGTGGTCATTGTCATGGGAGGGAAAAGAAACATTTCCAGTGTTCATTTTATCAATTTACCTGCCGGACAACATTTGACGAAACTCCTTAAAAGTTTGGCGATATTTTCATTACATCTCGAGGCCGAACATTGGATTCGCTATATTGAATAAGCCCGATACACCATAGCAGTGTAACCATGAAACGTTGTTCACATAACAATACCCTACTGTAAGTAGGTGGGAGGGTGACGTGTAACTTCCCACACCAAGCTTACACTCGGACCACACGCACTGTATATCAGAATTAGATTAACTCCATTACATGATCAGATATCTTAACTTTCTGTTTTGTTGTTTGTCTTTCTTGGGTTGTGGGCCTTTACGTGTCAGTGTTGGTACCGTGATAGTCTGTTCTGTTCCTCTTCCTTGCAATAATAATATTGACACGAATTGTTTTAACATCTCTTATTGTGCAATGTATAAAATGGAGCACCTTGTAATTTGATACACTCGTCATCTAACCTAGGTTTACCGGTTTATTATTTATTAATTAAATTAAATAATTGAGTCGGGCTGCACGGTTTTTTCCTTTCACCGCAACTCCTAAATCGGGGCTTCACTGTAATATATAATGTATATTACGAACTTGGGCAGGTATAAAGTTCTGGAATAAACCAATAACTGTGAACAAGAAGTCGCTAGCTTTTCCATAAAAGGTATAATGTGTTCGTACACATGTTTTGGTGATGAACTTATACCAGGCCTGGTAATTTTCTTTAAGTTACTTGTTGCGCTGGTGTTGCTTACTTTTGCATTATAATTTAGATCTTTTGTGCGATCTTTTGTGCGATGTTTTGTGTGATGTTTTGTGCGTAGTTGCTAAAGTAATTATCGTTAATAATAGTAGTGTTTTATAGTCGCATGCCACAACAGCTGTTGTACTCTCACAACCCAAAGTTTAGTGTGCAGACAACACAACATTTTGTCCAGATAGGATTCATATCAGTTTGTTGAACACAAAAAATGTGGATATGCAGTTAGAATTTTTCTTGTGCAGGTAACAAGGTTACCAATTTAAGGTTTTTTACTTCTACCCACCGCTGTATGAAATAACACCGGTCAAGATGGAATGTTTTCAAATGGGTGTTGTGTGAGGGCTCCTCCTTAAAGTACTACATGGGCCGTTATCTGACCTGGTGCTGTTTGTAAAATATAATCTAATTTCAGTCAGGTTTTAAACTAATTACAACACTACAAATCTATTACATTTATTGAGAATTATGTAATGTAACGTGATGGAAGTATTTTAAGCGGGCATATCCTGTCCAAACCCAGGATGCACTACATGAAGAATTCGTTGTAACTTTGTATGAAAAGCATTAATACACAAAACATTTTGTACATGGTTATACATTATAATAAGTTAATGTATTAATGTACTAGTATGATGTATGTATACAATCAATACTACCCATCTCTGTATCCTCACCAGGTCATGAAGTTAACGAAAATCTTGACTAGATGAAAAACATCTCTGCTTCATCTTGATCATTCTAATAATGTTATGTAAGAGAAAAAGAGAAGAGATAATGTTATTTTGTAACATATGTCATATTGTAATTTGCATAATTCAATGTTATCTTCTACCTTACAATATAATAATATAACTGCTATGGAAAATGAAGACCTTATAGTCTTCCGTAAGGGCTGCAATCACCTTCACATTGCAGGTTGCATGCCTATGTTTTTTCACCATCTCGAGACAGAAAAGATGCAGGAGACCACTTACTCCACAATGGCATCTATATAATATTATATATTATATAATAGTACATTATACGAATTACGATATAATACTGCTTAAACTGTGTGTTTTACCTGTAAACCATTGCAGTAGGATGTTAGGATGTTGTAGTAGACAAATTGCCTCCACATTCAGATACCCTCCTCTCTTGTCCGTTTTTAAGGTAATTATTTGTCGTAACGTTAGATAATAATATAATTGTTATGCTTGTTTGTTATGGTTTGAGACAGGGTACTGATTTGAGAATTTCTTATGATAATATTAATTGTTATGATAAGTATTTTCATTTTTTGTCTGTATTACTGGCCGTATCGCAGAATTTTTAAGAGTGGCCAAATTCTAAGATCATTAAGTTGCCTGCCTGCCTGCAATCGTTCAATAAATGATATTAGATATTACTTGTTTTCATTTCGTCGTCCTGTATCAACGGAGACCATGCTTGTTTTTAAACCTGATTCTAAACATTTGAACCCGATTAATCAACCAATCCCCAATCAATCGTAGTGTCTCTGCTTATTGGCTTATTCTGATTTTATCTTATAATGTCTTCCTTCGTTGGTGCTCTATCGGATACCATCTCAATCTTAGAATGTTACACAAGATTAATTAATGTTCTAATACGGAATTGTTATAATATAATAATAGGTTGTGATGCAATAATGTTTTATATTTAAAGTCGTACCTACTCGATCTTGTATGTGATTTAAAAACTTAGTTCAACTTGAATGTTGAATGTTAGATTGAGGCGATATTAAAATTTGCCATTCTGCCACTTTTTTCAAAATAATTTTTCAAAATTTAGGAACTGATTAAACATTTTTTATTCATACACAGCTCAGTTTTGAATTAACGAATATAATATTCTGACTGATTTATTAAAATTTTCTTTGAATTCTGAGCCCCCTGGTAGATTTCACATAATTATAATTATCTCAATCGATTGAATAACTATATCTCATTAATCTCATTAATCAATTGACGATGTTATTACTAATCTATTAACTAATTAATTAAGCACCCACTTTCCAATTAACTAATTACTATCGTTTTGTAGGGGCTCAGGATGTACAGTGCAGTAGAACGTGGTACTCCCAACACACTAGACTACAGGATATTCTACACTAATAAGGATGGAGCTGCTATCTCCCCCTTCCACGATATACCCCTTTACGCTGACGATTCTCAGCAGTGTAAGTTAATTATAATTAAATAATTACTAATTAGTTAATCACTAATTAATCGACTAAGAATGGAGCTGCTATCTCCCCCTTCCACGATATACCCCTTTACGCTGACGATTCTCAGCAGTGTAAGTTAATTATAATTAAATAATTACTAATTAGTTAATCACTAATTAATCGACTAAGAATGGAGCTGCTATCTCCCCCTTCCACGATATACCCCTTTACGCTGACGATTCTCAGCAGTGTAAGTTAATTATAATTAATTAATTACTAATTAGTTAATCACTAATTAATCGACTAAGAATGGAGCTGCTATCTCCCCCTTAAACTCTGACGATTCCCAGCAGTGTTAGTTAGAGACATTAATGAAATTAATGATTAGATATTGATAAATAAATAAATAACTTCTAACATTTATTACTTTTATTGAATTAAGTATCTATTTATAAAAGCTGTATCGAATTTTACTTTATCTTTTATTTGTTTATTTACCATCCATGTAACAAGAACTTATTTATTAATTAATCGATTAATTATTTATTTATTAATTACTCCAGACTGCTTATCTAGTATTCAAGTTATTTTCTGGGAGAAGTAGTTTAAACACTGCTGAGTATAAGTTGTATCGTAAAAGCGGTGTTATTAAATTTCAATTTATTATTATTATTATCATTAACTTGTTAATTATTAAAATTTATTAATTACTTCAGATTGCAACATGGTGGTAGAGATTCCTCGCTGGACTAACGCTAAAATGGAGATTAGTAAAGACGAACCACTCAACCCCATCAAACAGGATATCAAGAAAGGTAATTTAGATAAATAAAAAATATTTTTAACTATCAATTATTAAAATTAATAATAAATAGAAAATAAAATTTCCCGGGATAATCACATATTCAAACGGACACATTTCATTAAAAGCTCTGAATTGTTTCACTGTGAATACATTTTTACAATCTATCAGGTAAGCTGCGGTTTGTTAACAACGTGTTTCCTTACCACGGGTACATCTGGAACTACGGAGCTATCCCTCAGGTCGGTCACGTGACATGGTCACCTTTTTAACACGTGACATGGTCACGGTTTAGACACATGACATGGTCACGGTTTAGACACGTGACATGGTCACGGTTTAGACACGTGACATGGTCACGGTTTAGACACGTGACATGGTCACGGTTTAGACACGTGACATGGTCACGGTTTAGACACGTGACATGGTCACGGTTTAGACACGTGACATGGTCACCTTTTTAACTAGTGACATGGTCACGGTTTAGACACGTGACATGGTCACGGTTTAGACACGTGACATGGTCACGGTTTAGACACGTGACATGGTCACGCTTTAGACACGTGACATGGTCACGCTTTAGACACGTGACATGGTCACGGTTTAGACACGTGATATGGTCACGGTTTAGACATGTGACATGGTCACGGTTTAGACACGTGACATGGTCACGGTTTTAAAGAGTTATAAATTGTGATTTGTTAAAACCGTGACTCACAATCTAGGATAGCTGTTCATAATATTATATATAATATAGTGGAATTTCAAATTATATGTCAGTTTTATTGATACCATGTTGTCGCAAGGTATCTGAACAGGAATCTGAACACGTAGTAGTTTTGAGAATTCTGAATCTGCAGAAAATCTGGTTATTATTTACTGATAAGTATAGTATGTCATTAACGAATTTATTATCTCAGACCTGGGAGGACCCCGCCCACGTTGATGCTAACACTAAAGCTAAGGGTGACGACGATCCTTTGGATGCTGTGGAGGTAAGTTGAATATTATGATATCACGTGATTAGATTAAACGTTTTCGAATTTGATATTGAGAAAATATTGATAAGTATTGATGGTTCATACGCTTGAGCTTCACATTTGTATCACATATTATAATAATACTAGTGTAACCCGTGCCTTCGGCCGGGACTTAACTGTCACAGTTGCAATGTAAAAGTATACAACCGCATTATATATTTGATATCACGCATAACGCTGTCTTATGAAAGTATGAAATCTCCCTACAGTTGAAACAAAGCGGCCGCAAGAGTGAGCTCTAAGCTTATAGTATTACGTGGGGCTAAACTAATTACGGTACATGTTATCCTCCTCGTTCTCTCTCCCATCCATTTATGTCACATTTCTGGAACAAAATCATCAATTAAACCACTTACCACCGGCCGATTTTTATAAAATTTGCTTATGGGCTTCGTCAGAGTTTTGTCAGCACTATACCGAAAAAACCAGTCCCGTAACTATTACCTTTTTTTTGTATAACCGTTCGGAAATTACACACAGACACACAGACACACACACATTCTGGTGTTATTAAGTTGATAGTGAGATAGATTGAATAATACCTGGCAAATACCTGGCGAATACCTGGAAAATACCTGGAAAATACCTGGCAAATACCTGACAAATACCTGGCAAATACCTGAAAAATATCTGGCGAATAGCTGGCAAATACCTGACAAATACCTGAAAAATACCTGGCAAATATCTGGCAAATACCTGACAAATACCTGACAAATACCTGACAAATACCTAAAAATACCTGGAAAATACCTGACAAATACCTTGCAAATACCTGACAAATACCTGGTAAATACCTGGCAAATACCTGCAAAGTCATTACAGATCCATATTCCATTCCAACTAACTATATCTCAGATTGGAGCCGGTGTAGCCAAGAGAGGAGAAGTAAAACAAGTTAAAATACTTGGTAAGTGAAAATAGCGACAAATAGTAATTTGGGTTATTGTAAAAACCTCTGCCGCATTTCTGGGTTTTAAAGCGAATAATAATACCGGGCAAAAGTTATATTTTAAAGTCGCTAATAATCAAACCATGTATGATAGGCAGTAGATAACACCTGTATCTACTGCTTAACTTGTAAGATTGTATGTACATAATTATATCTACAATTACATAATTATATGTACAATTACATAATTATATCTACAATTACATAATTATATCTACAATTACAGGAGTGCTAGCAATGATAGACGAAGGGGAAACTGACTGGAAGTTGATTTGCATCGATAGAAACGACCCTCTAGCTGGAGAGCTTAACGATATCGGGTATGTAATTAATATATTCATAGCTTAGGAATTTTAATATATTTTAAATTGTAAATATTCACGTTCAGAACCAGAACTTTGTCCTCATCTTATCAACCATTATATGAGCGGGCTATATATATGTTATGTACCATTTTGTATTTTATTTCATATTTTATTTAAATAAAACGTCTGACTCATGTTTTATTTGAATAAAACGTCTGACTGATACCATAAAATGTGTGCAATGATTGATTATATGTTGTATATTATCTATAGATCTATAAATATTGAGAATGCGATTTATAGATTATAACCTCCGTTTGCAGGGACGTTGAAAGGGTAATGCCAGGATACCTGGAGGCTACCAGAGATTGGTTCAGAATATACAAGTTCCCTACCGGCAAACCTATGAACGAGTTCGCTTTTAATGGTAAGGGCATCTTACTTATAATTCGAAAATTTCTTTCCGCACGCACGACCACCCACGTGCAAATTAGAAGAGAAATAGTAAGTTGCATAATTACTAAAATGAAACCGCGCACGTGCAATTATTGTTGGGGGGGGGTCCAAGGGGAACTTTGGGGAACTTTGGGAAAGTCCCCCAAGATTTCTGAAGTTCCCCAAAAAAAAGTTCCCCAAAACTCCCCAAAGTTCCCCAAAATTCCCCAAAATTATTCAAAATTATTCAAAATTATTCAAAATTATTCAAAATTATTCAAAATTATTCAAAATTTCTCTAATATACATTAATACCCATTAATGTTAACATGTATGTTATTATAAGGTATAATCTTAACTTACTTGTTGATACTTGCAGCATGATAATTTTTTAGGCATGATAATTTTTTTGGGGAACTTTGGGGAACTTTGGGGAACTTTGGGGAATTTTGGGGAACTTTCTGAAGTTCCCCAAAAAAAAGTTCCCCAAAATTCCCCAAAATTATTTGTTTCATTGATAATTCTTTGGGGAACTTTGGGAAAGTCCCCCAGGTTTCCTGAAGTTCCCCAAAAAAAAGTTCCCCAAAACTCCCCAAAGTTCCCCTTGGACCCCCCCCCCCCCCCCCCCTATTGTTGGAACGACATTATGATCGGTTTTGTTGTTGCAAACAAATCTGACGATCAAAGAATCATATTAGCTTTTTCCATGTGACCACGGGCCTAGTCTTACTAATAATTCGAGAATTCCGTCTTGCACGTATGACGCACGTGAAAATTGAGTAAAATAATCACAAGAAAATATCATTTTAGCATTTATAAATAATCACTAAACACTCTAAAGCTAATGGTTTCAATATCAATCGTCTCAGCTCCTCCGTGATACCATTGTAGTTAAACTACTGACGGAAGGATGATTCCATCTTGTCCTCCTTGAGTATCTTGTGTTTCTGGAGTATCTTGGTTTGTAGCAAGTCTGTGAGGACGTGCCTGTCTGAGATGAAGTTCTTCACGTGGACGTGGTACAGTTGCTGGTCTTGTATTAGTTCCATGGAGGGGCCGTAGCAGAGAGATGAATCTGGTTATCTTTAGCTTTAAGAAGATTCGAAAAATTTGCAGATAAAAAAGTTTGCCATGATGTTAAGGAACTGAAGATGTATGAACACGCGATATATATATATGATCGAGAAGTCCAGGTGGAGATGACTGAAATCTGTCCCAGAATTTAACCACCAACCTATCTGGGAAATCAACAGTACTGCTGAAGTTGGTAGTACCGTAGATACACTCTCTCTCTCTCTCTCTCTCTATCTCTCTCTCTATCTCTCTCTCTCTCTCCGTAGATACACCCTCCCATCGTAGTGTGTTAGCGTGTTGAGCTGCTGGTCTTTTTGCTATTATTAAAAGAAGTATTGAAGTTACTACAATGGTCACATTAAATATTATAGGGATGCCAATAAAAGCTGCTATCACATAATAAAGATAAAAATCTGGTTGAAAAAAATAAGTATTATATTCTATTTCACATATGTGGGTAATATAATCAAGGAAAACTGTTCCATTAGAATTGTGAGGCAACGTCATTACGGAAAGTTGTGGTGCATTGAAACCCAGAGAAAAGAGCCACACGGCTGCACAGATCTTGTGTGCGAACACAGAGGACCAGGATCCTTTTTTTTATGAAAATCTTTTCAAAATTTACATACAATATAACATGTGGCGCAAAATAAAAACAAAATATAACTGATTGCGATCTCTAAAGGACAGATGTATGTAAATCTCAAAGGGAAACCAGAACGCAGTAAAATTGTAGTCGAAACCACACCGCACAAGCCTAGTCCCTGGTAAATGAAAATCAATTAAATAATATGTTGATAAAAAATCATATCCCATCAGTCCTTCTCGGAGCTTACGATCTTATTGTTCCTTATAACATGAACTCGCTGAGGCTCCAATTCCCGTTTCTGCTTAACTTCAAGAACTAACTTCCTGAAGGCAGCTCTCTGCTCGGCTGATCGGTCGGGGCTGATGTACACTGAGTCATACCCCTCCACTTCTCTTAGTTTTCTCGCTTTGCTCAACACTTGCCGCACATGATCTGAGCCGCTGAGAGTGAACTTGATAGGTTTAACGGCTGGTCCTCCATCTGATACAGTTCTCCCCATCCTACAGCAAGAAACGATTCGAGGTTTCTCATCTATGTTTTCTAGTACCTCAAGCACTCTCTTTTCCAGGATTTCTTCACTCTTTTCTGGTAGACCGTAGATGACCAGATTTTGACTACGATCCTCTTCCTCGGAGGCACGTTTCAGAGCAGCTTTCATTTTCTTAGGCGCTAGCGCCTTGCTGCATGAATTCTTCACAACTGACGACCAGGCTTTGAGTTCGCTTTTCACTGTCGTCTGAACAGAGGTCAAATCTTCACTTTTCTTCTCAAGCAATTGTCCTTGCAGTTTAATCACAGTGTTCTGATCTGCAATCTTTTCGTCCTTCAGTTGGTCGATTTCATCTTGTAGTTTGGTGGCTGAAAACAACAGCGGTGAACAATAACTGTCGAGAATGTCGATAAAAGTTTCCATCCAATCACACAGCGTAGCCTTGGTGATCTGAGGCTTGTTGAGCGTTTCTTTACGTAACACATTGGATTTCTGAACACCTGCCGCTTGACGCATATCGTTGAGTAGCATAATCTGAGCACCCAAAATCTGTTCAGCATACATTGATCTGAATTTGAGTGTAGAGTAATTCAACGCTATTTCATTGTCAAGATTCTCCAAGTATTTGTTAACCATGATGTACAATGTACACGCAGGGCCAGTTTAATATACACGAGTATATTATCTGCTACACAGTGAGAGCTGTTTAAACCGACGCAAAAGCAATTAACTGATAAGACTTGAAAACTGATAAGATCCCCAGCTTTAAGGTCGTTAAAACAGCTGTTAGAAAGACAATCACTGTAAACGCAAACCAGCGAACACATTCCTGCAGATAACAGAAAAACTCGCCTAACACCCAGCGATCAAATATCAAGGCCAAAGTTGTTGGAAATACTACAAAGACTGTCTGCAGTAGATCAGATATTGCCATATGTTGCATAACTGTGATTATAACTCTGTGTAGTTTTATAGCTTTGTATTTGATTGTAGCTAGCAGAATGACACTGTCTCCTAAAAGCGATGTCAGCACGACGGTTAAAGTCCATAATACCAACATGTTTCGAATTCCATCGTGTTCCCTATGATCGTACGCGTATTCCGTTGTTGTTCTGAACATCTTCTAGATCCAATCGGTAGTATTAACTTCTATAGTAGATGTATAATATCTAGTAATATTCAGTGCCATTTTCTGTAGATCCGTATCCATGTTGACTGGTTATTTGTAGTATATATACTCAACCTGTTCATTATGAAATAGTTACAAAATGTAACACAGTAAACTTCGATTTACCACAAAACCCCGATTTACCGCCGGTCATTTCCTTTCCACCAAACGGAGGTTACATTATATTATGAACAATCAATACCCAAATTTACCGCTAACTTTAATTTACTGCGGCTGTCCCTTTCCCGATTCCGTGGTAAATGGGGGTTACTTATATATTTCCCAGTCATCGTTGCTAGCGTTGAAACTGTTTTAACCCTGCCTTAGTCAGTTGAAAGTCTGATAGCATATGTTCCGTTTGATTTGACCAAACTAATGCCTTTCATTGCTTTATAGCAGGCGAAAAGAGAACAAAACGATTTATCGTTTGAAAAGAAAATTACAATTTTATTCATTTCGCTAAATTCTCTTGCGTGCTTAAATCAATGCGATTTTATGTGAAGCGAAAACCAGAAATTTATAAATATCTTACCGAAAGTGTTGGAGATGGTTAAAGGACCAGTTAACTGAAAAAAAAGTTATCCTCATATTTTGACAGATTGTGACAAATAGCAAACTAAGCAACGAGTCGAAATTCCTAAATCTCTAACTGCTCTCTAACGCATGTAAATAGCGTTTGTATTATTTTGGCGATGACGTCATAAAGTCCCTCTTGCGCGCAGAGTAGCTCGTGAGACTGTATTTTACAGGTAAAAAATGGACATAATACAATCTTTTCCCCCGAATAACTCGAAAAGTAAGTAATTTAGGGTACATGTTGCTTCATAAGTTGTATATAAACATGGCCATTCTGCACAATTTGCACACATTCAAAAACCTTTAGGGCCTTCATAGCCCAATTAACCAGATACCCATAGTTTTGCATGATTTCTGGAACCGAAAATCAGTTTTTCGCCAATAACTGAAAAAATAAGCACTTTAAGGCATATGTTTGTTCGTAAGTCATATATTAATATGCTAATTGCGGTTCTTTTGCATCCTGTCTGAAGACTCCATCACGATCATATCGAAAATGGGCTTAGCACCACGCCCAAAATGGTTTTTGGCGAATTTATCGAAAAGTAAGGATTTTAGGCCATGTGTTGCTCAATAACTCCTATATAAACATGCATATGCGGCTTCGTTCAAGCCTATTTTGAAGTCTCTACGACCTTCAGAAGCAAGGGGTCGGTTACGTTATTGGGTCAATATGGGCGCGGCCCTCCTGGGTTTTCTCCACGGTCAAAAAAATGTCTCCAAACGAAAATCGTTTAATCATAACTTCGGGAAGGTCTGTGCAAAGTTTCGTGAGTATTAGAACATTTGCAGGTTCATTTCCATAAATGTCCATAAATGACTGGACTACACAACTTTAGAGTTGACTTTAGAGAAACTCATAAGTCATTTATCTCAAATTAAGCTGTTAGTGTCCATGATCAACCTCTGGCGACAATGTTTTACGTGAAATGTAAAAATCAGGAGTAATATAAAAAAGGTATTTTTAGATTAAAGTGCTAGCTCATAGTTTTAGAATTGTATAGATTAACGTTGGTCATTTAGCCATCTAACAATCGATCGTGCCGTAATATATGGCCAGAGAATAATAGGGTCTTGGAAATTCTATAGTTGTTCAGTGGGTCGATCGACTGAACACGTTTGCACTTGGTATTTAAACTTACCAGTAGTTTATTTATGTTATGCACCGATGATAATGCAATTAGGATAACAACTAGGTAAGCCGGAAGTCTTATTCAAAACACACCTCACACCGTACACACCTCCAATCAGTAATTTTACTATTTGGTAGACCGGGTATTTTGGCGGGAATTCTGTTCCCACGGCACTGTTCTGATAGAAGCTACTTCTACTAATGGTCCCAGAGGAACGGCCGTAAAGTAGCCAGACTTCTTGTCTCCTGTACTGGCAGACACTTGCAGATTAAAGTTAGAAATTTCGCTATGCTATAAATATAATTGCTCTCGGAATTGAACAAACTCCTACTTATCTGTATCCTTTCTAAATTCGTTAGAGTTTCATGGACTGGGGAAAAATAATCGGTACAGTCTCCCTGCTTGTGTAATTAAGCAATGAAAACAATCCAAAATTATCACATATGACATAAGTTGTAATAGCAGTAACTTTCTAACCGTACATTCACCCGCCACTGTTCAAGAACCTATATCACTGTTTAAAATCATGACGTGAGCACTGTACATCCAATCAGCTATTCCTTTAGTTAGGATGATAGCCAAAACTATAAGGATTTTGGAGAACTAGGGTAATAGTCATAATTCTAAAATTTGAGTGAGTTACACGTGTTTTATTGACGATGATAAACATTTGTAATGTAAATTACGCTATGCAAGCGCGCACTGAGGGACTTTATGACGTCACGAGGCCACAGCTTATTATTACAATAACACGCGTTACACCTACGCTAGAGAATTGGTTCTTTCGGCGATACGATTCTTTACCAGTTTGTCACAGCTGATTTAAATCTTAGCCAAATTGGAGACTACAAATTTTTCAGTTAACTGGTCCTTTAATAGTTCGAGTACTCAGCTTTTCTTACTACAACTATTTCATCTTAATTGCACAGAAATCTAACAAAGTTGACGAAGATATCAGCACAATGCTGATCGATTATGCCGTTCCATAACTTTGATCAGACCCAGCCAATTATTTGTATTGTATGTGGTGGTCAATATAATACACGGATCTATACCTGTGTTTCACTCCAATACAATGCTTTGGAATAAACAGATCAGAGCATGAATTTTTATGGGCAAATCGTATGCTTTGTTATGTTGTCCACTGCGTTATGGATCCCTTTAATTTTGCAAATTGTGGATAAAGTATCCAATATCCTTACATTTTCTAGGCTTGGTATTACTATTTCTTCACCAGATATTAAAACCTTCCTTGTTCTTTTTAGCTGTTCAATAAATAATGATGATTTCAGGTGAGTGGAAAGACAAAGCTTTCGCAGACAACATCATCAAAGAAACCAACGGTCACTGGAAAGCTTTAGTGTCGAACAAGGGAGTGGCAGATGATGTGAACACTAAAAATACTACTGTTCAAAACAGTCATGGTCTTATAACGTAAGTTTTTATGGTATAGTTTTATTGCATTGTATTTCCATGTGTCTAGAATTATTACTGAACCCTCGGCATCTTAAATGGACACGTCATGGTGTTTAAGTTTTTGTGTTTCTACTCGAATTTTGACTTAAGAATTGCACCGAAACACCGTTATAAAACCAATTATTTCAGTGTTGACGAAGCTTCTCAAATCCTAAACAAAGTGGCCGCACCCCACCCAACCGGGCCTGCCGTGGACCCCTCAACCCAAAACCAGTGTTTCGTTAAGCGTACTATTCCTGAAAGTGTCTGTGCTTAATGTTACTAAAACTAGGACTCAATCGAGACTCAATCGGGACTCTGGTTTCGAATTTGGGCACAACTGTGGCTCAGGATCAAGATTTATTTTCCAAGATGTATAGAAGAGATTTCTAATTTCATAGATTGAGTTTTGAGTAATTTATTAGTTTTATGGTAGGGATATTCTGTGTTTTATTTAGTACGGCTCGCTACAAAAAAATTCGTTTTCTACAAGACTAAAGATCTTAACGTTAATTAAGGCATGTTCAATTTTCTGCTCTACAACCCGTAGAATATTCTCGGCGAGGGGTTTAATACGCGGTAGTCTGGACACCCTCTGCGGTCTTGGTGCGAAAATACTGTTTGCGTGGAGCGCTAGTACAAATTAGTAATTATACCACGCGCGTTTTTATTATTCTCAGCTCGATTCGATCGCTCCATGCATAATGCACGCACGTTTTTTTCTTCAAATCAAAAAATCAAAAGCTAAAGCAAAATCTGGCGGGATTTCTTGTCGTTCAATTTTCAATCCGTTTGATTCCACAATCCACACGTGTGTTTGTTTATGTTAGTAATTCGTTGGTAGTGTTAGGATATTGATATCTCGGGATAATTCGTGTGAGACAAACCTGATAACTGGCATGGAATATTTGGCAAATAATTGTTCAAGTACTTGATGAGTTGATTAGATCGGATATTTGAATATTCAATTGACCGAAGTAGTTAATTAGTTGAGTACTTAGATGCGTTGAGTAGTACAATAATTGAATTTTCGATGGAACCGAGTTAACGATGCTTAGGTATTCAATTCGATCGGGTACTTTGGGCAATATATCAATGGACTGTGGAGACTGGATGATTTTCTTAAAATTGCTTTTATAGCCGTAATTGCTTTTGTAGCCTGTTACATGGATATGATTAACATTCTTATCATATATTAGGTGATCTCAGCATTCTACAAATTTTCTAAAGCAGTTAGTGATAGCTGTGTGGCGACAGGCGTTGTTCTTTTAATATGCTACCATACATATTCGCTGGTAAAAAATGGAGACTACCATTCCTGAATGCGATCATATCCATTTTTACAAAAAACCTCCCTTATCGTGCAATGATCTAGATGTTGAGTAATGAGAGTCAAAGAGACCGTTCACGTATTACGTAAGCCAGATTTCGACCTTTAAATCCAGATCCCCTCCCCCTCTGCAAGCAACTCTACACATAGCTTATGTGTAGAAATTAAACTGCTTTCCAAACCCCATTTCCCCCTAGATGAGACGTAATATGCGAACGATCCCTCAACTGGAAGTAAACGTTGAAAACTGCGGATGAATTTAGTAGAAAATTACATGTTATCAAAAATAAGTCATCGTAAATCAGCATATATGTTATGTAGTGTAGTGTATACAGTATATAATGTTCACATTAAATAATATCAATTTGCTCCATGGTATTTTATCTATCAGTAATCTTCCTCATTTCATCTTTTCAATTTGTAAATAAGTCCGCTCCACCTTCTTTGGGATCATTTCAAACTACCACAAACTCTATCATGCTCCCCTAACACCATAGCAATGTGCACTAATACAACACGGTTTATTCTTCACCACCTTGCTGCACTTAGCCCACCAGTACCCACAAGGTCGGGAATACCCACCTGCTGTGATACTCGGACAAGGTTTCCAGCCGGGGTTTACTGTGTGGTAGTTACCGTGGAGCCAATGAGCACATTCCCGCGAGTGTGGGTGTGGTGTATCGGAGCAGTGTCCCCGCACATCATCCGGACCTTCCTCGGGTGTGGTTACGGTGGCGTGCATTGTGGCTGGCATTGTGGCTGGCCATGTGCCCGGTTCTGTGCTCAGACCCCCTGTCATGGTTTCTGACTGCGGTGTAGTGGCCGTACCCGGTGTAATCAAACCGTCGGTGGACAAGGTGGGAGGAATGTCACAGTAATCAGAATCCATCTTCACCTCCAGCTCTGCAAGAACGTTCTTAACAAAAGGGTTCCTGTAGAAGTACGTCTGTAGACAGTCCGCCTGTACTTCATACATCGGGCACACGATATTAGCTGCGGTAGCTTCATTCACCCCCGGGATGTTTAGAAAGTCATTTAACTCATCAAAACACTGACAGAACTTCATCTCCTCTCCCAGTCCCGCTATGAACATCGCAACGTACGTGTCCCCGGACTTAGGGGCTAGACACTCTTGGAATTCCGTGTAGAGATTACACTCCTGGTCTATCTGTTCCAGAGTGGAGAAGTCGTGGTGAAGTGCTCGGAACAGGTTCTCACTGTACTCCCTCATACATCTGTAGACAAAGTCGTAGACGTGCAGCTCTCCGTTGGATTCAGTGGGAACAAGGCTCGTGACGTACGAATCAGTTTTAGCAAGGCAAAGATCGAAGCAAGCGACCAGTAAAAATAACCTCGCAACAATCATGATGACAAAGCACACAAATTAGCCGCTATCAAGCTAAAAATGACAGATCGAAAGTTTTGTGCGGATTTTCACAAGATCCAAAGTGACAAAATATTCAATCGTCGCTCATCGCTCGCTGCATACTTGCTCTTAACTCGCTGAGATCAGTGAGTGTCGGTGTGGTTCTGTTACTGCCCTGAAATATGTGGCCACCGGGTGGCTTCTCAGTTTATTTTCGTACGGGTCTGTATTCAGAGCTCTATTTTTGTCTGTAACCGCAGACACAAAATTATGTTGAAATAGAAGTACAATTGCTTCGGGTAAAGGTCGTAGCTAGGTTATTTCTTAAGGTTTGTCCTTTTGTGTTTTGCACTCACAACGCCCTGTGTATGTTAAAAGTTGTTGCAATTGACAATTCTTGAAGCGTTTCGTAATAGGAATATTTATCGGGCCCGTTTTTCGTTCATGTTATGATCTGTGATCTTTGTCCACCAACTCGATTAGACTTGGGGAGGATCAGGAATCTGCCACCTGATCCTTCATTTAGAGGGGGGTCTTCACACCAACCTCCATATCCCTAGTATCACAACCCCAGCCAAGTTATACTGTTACAAAGGGCGATTCAAGCTTAGATAATCGGATCAAAGTCATTCCGAATATTGATAAGTAACGAAGCGACCGTTTCGGATTTCATCAGAAATGTACAAAAGATAGTTCAGCAAAATAGGCTTTGTACTAACGGAAGAAAAATTCAGTAATCGTGAATAATAATGCTGTATAAGTATTTTATATCACTAATAGCAGCTGATGATAAATATTTTTCTTTGGAACCTTATTTTAGATCTTCAGATTCAAGAAAATTAGATGGAGACACCCAGTGTTTCAACAAACTGTTCGACCTCCACTTACAGGCCACAGGTTCCCCGTCAAACTGGCAAAGCCTACCACTTAAAAATGTCTACATTCCTCTTTATACCCGCGACATTCCATCGGAACTATTAAAAATTACCGTCCAAAACTGCAAAGTTTATCACTCTTTAGGCGGCAAATTTCTGGAGGGCGATGAAAAGTAGTTTCTCAAAGAACACCAAAAAGGGATGTAAGCGAAAGGTCGGTTCACTACATTATACTTGGAGACTGAAATTAGTTTTTTTATATTTTGGAACAAAAATGTCCGTCACCCCCACGAGCAGTGTGATAATAAACATATCTAATAATGGCCATCTACAGCTTAGGACGTGCGGCATATTATAGATGGCCCCTAATTTGGTCCTTGGTTTATTAAAGATGTATCAAAACTTGGTGGACTCTATCTTATCACTGATGAAACATTGGTATGATTGGGGATCAGATCAACTAGTGAACTACTACTACTATTAACTACAGTCTACAATCCGCCACCTTTAAGCACTCTGAGTCAGGTAAGCGTTTTTATTTGTAAGTTCCAAGCTCCTATAACTCTATAATAGCTTACTCAAACTTTTATAATGCCAATTTGACCCGGCATATCCCTTAAACTTATGATTCAATCGGTTTTAACTAGGAGGCTTAAATCTTGGAGCTAGGACACCAAGCACAGGATATACTTACTTTTTATGACATATCCGGGCACGCTGTGAAGCCCTCCCAGACTTAGTCGTATATATAGAAGTTTCATTTTTATATAAGTTTTATAAAAGTTTCAGTTTCACACTTGGATTTAGGTTCAAAAATATCTAAACTTTAAAATAACATTTCGTTAAGTTTTAACTGTGTTGCATCAGGTTTCAAGTTAAACTTGTAGTTTATTTTCACAGTTAAACATCCGCAATAAAAAATGACGCGACATCCTTATTATATATATATATATTGCATATATTGCATTATTCATACTCAAACCTCAGTATCTCATAAAATGTCATAAATCTTTGCACAACATACAAAAATATAAATCAATTATAAACACTTAAAATACCTGCAACTTGATATCATTAATTACATCCTAACAAACTGTCAGCACTGCAAATAAATCCTAAAAAACTGCTCAACATCAACCAAGTCCCCCGTAGCAGTGAATACTGATACAACAGTTTTTGTTACTTGTCTTACCCGATTTCTTGCATTTAGCCCAGTACAACCCACATTTTTTACCGTACGATCCAGTAAAATTACTGCAATGTTTCCACCCGGGATTAGCCACGTGGTAGTTGTTGTACAACCAGTGCACACATTTCAGAGTCATAGCACCTGTGGGGTGGTCACGGTCTGTACACGGTGTCTCCATGTTATCTGGTAATAAATAAGTTGGAGATGTTGTTGAAATCACTGAGTTCCTCTCGGTAAAATGGTCGAACCGACTTGCTACGGCATTTCCTGCCCTTTCGAATTGATTCGTTTCCGTCTCTTTTCTTTTCTCTTCTTTTCTCCTTTCCTTCTCCAGTTCCCTCTCCCTCTCCTGTGTTTTAGCTTCAACACAGCGTTTAGACTTAACCGCCATATCTAACCCCGGTAACAGCTCCCCAATAAAGGGGTTATCTGAATACGGCCCCAAACAATACACCTGCTCCTCGCAAACCCTACAATATGCCGCCTCCCCCAGGCTAGTGGAAGAAAGAAGAATCTCCCTGCTGATACACTCACAGAAACCCATCGTGTCGTCCAGAGAGACCATAAACTCATCCACGTAGGTGTTCCCTGATTTGGTCTGGAGACACTTTTTGAATCCCGGGTAAAACGCACATTCTTCAGATATCTGATGTTTTTCCTGCTGCCGTGCGTGGCTCAG